TCCTATTCTGATACTGCATGCATACAATACAAGCAGTTGGAAAGAAAAAGATACAGAGGGTGTGTGTGGGGAGTGACAAATGGGTAAGCTCCAGGTTAAGTACAATATAAGCAACAGTCCCTCGTGGCAACGTATCAGACGATACTCATTTTATTGTCAGAGTAAAAACATACTCCTTTAAGAAAACCAAACAAAAAACCCTACTGAATGTTATAATGCATGCCAAGCAATTATTGCTTTCTTCAATGTGTCCTGTGACTCACTGTGCCACAGTAAATTGGCATATGGTGCTCATTCAGGGTATATAACTCACACAGTTGCAATAGCTCTAAAGAGCTAATAGTTACTTGGACTGTAGTTAATTTGGGGGGGTTTTAATTTCCCCATGGCAATGCAATAAATGTCATGCTTGTTACTGTATTATTATTTTTAAAAAAATGTTTTTAGTGGCAGGCAAGTGTCATTAACGCCTAAAATGTCTTGTATGCTAGGGAAATTGATTCAGACAGCCTCTGGCATGCGAAAGCACATAAATAATTGGTAAATACTACCTGTGGTCTTCTGCATCCAGATTTGCCTGATGCCAAGAGCAATCAACTCCTTTTTGGCTGCAAAGGACAGGAGGGCACTCCATACCTTGCAGAAGGCACTCAGTACCTGGCAAAAATCAAACTTTCTGTGTGCCAGCGCCCCATGAAAGAGCAAACCCTGAAGCGCGTATGACAGAAATGGTTCTCTTCTCTTACAAGGGAAGGCAACCTGCTAGAGAGACAGAGCCAGCTCTCCATAAGGTGCCGAATACTCTCCTTGCCTGGGAAAGGTGCATTTCCCATGGTTACCCTGCTTAAAAAACAGCTCTAACTTTCTTAATGAAGGAGACAAAAAAACAACAAAGCAACTGTCTTTCAGTGACTCTGCCCAAGAGCAGTAGACTGGAAATCCAGTTTTTACCACTAAGATGACATCAGAGATGCTTAAAAGCAGGGATCCAGCAGCAGAAGAAGAAACTGTGTGTGATTACAAAAAAATTCTTCTCCCGTAATCTAGATTACTCAAATGAGCCTGAGCTACACCATGACTTGTGAGTACCACCAAGAGAATATGGCTTCAGACTGCTAATGGAGCTTTCCATCATACCGAAATAATTTAATGCGGGGAAAAAATCCTATATAAGCGAGATCTACCCAACACTTGCATACATTTGACACAAGTCCACTGAAGCCAGTGCTATTCATTAGCAGAAGCGGATCAGTGAGATAGAAGTGGACCACTGAGATTTTGCCCACATAGGGACTCTGAACTACAGCAGAAGAGCCACCAGTTTCAAGGTCAGCAGGACTGATTCCTGATGAAGGGGGTCTGACTTTGATACTGTTTACACAACGATAAAGAAATAGCGATGCTACTGAAATCAACAAAGCTACGCTGGAGTAAATCCGTTGAGAATTAGATCCTGAATTTGTATGTCTTTGCAGCTAATTTCACAGGTATTAAACAACACATCTCGAAATGTGACTTGGAAGGAAAAACATAAACAAAATCTCAGCCTACAGCTCTATCGCTCCCTGATCCCCGAGGAGGCAATTATTCCCTCCGTGGTGTTCTGCGTGGGCCAAATACAATGATTGCCAATATAAATATTTTGTTCCTGGGGTTTTGCTTTATAGAATGTAAACTTTGACTGTGTGGCCTCAGGTGTTTTCAGTGCTTAGCAGGTTCCAAATGGAGATCGGGGAATATGGCCATGACCTTCGCATGAACAGCAATGGTGAAGAATGACCTGCTCTGTCTATTTCCTCACCTTGCATTCCCTGAACTGTTTAATTGTGTGGAAGACAGTTGAAATTGTGCCTGAACCAAGACTGCCAGGCTCTGATCTGTGCTCTTTCATTGTTATTCTGTAGATTCTTTTCTAGTGCTCACAAAATATTCCCCATCTCCTCAGAAATATCTTTGATTTATTAATATGTTTGTTGTGACTTGCTTACCTCCCTCTCTCTAGGAATGTACTTGAGAAAGTGCAAAAGTACATAAAAATTAAGTAGATCTCAGACAATTTTCCAATCAAAACTCATATTCATCTATGCAGAAATGTCAAAGTCTTCATCTCACCCAAGGAGATAAAACCAGCATTTAGGTAATAACCATCTTCTCAACGCAAAGACCCTCCCTCCAGAGAAGGAAACGCTGCCTTTGTCCAGATCCCATACGTTTGTTCTCTTGTTGGCTAATTCCTGACAGTGTTAGCTAGATTTTCATTACAGGGTATTATTTGTAGCTGCTGTTTTCATGAAGCAGCTGTAATAAACAAGTGAGATTTATGTTCCTTTTTAAATTGCTTGAAATAATTACTGTTGTTAAATTTAGACTCTGAAAGAACCTACTGATTTCTCTATTTTTTTTAATAAATACAGAAGCTACAAAGCAATCTACCACCATCAGTCAGGCTTGGGCCAGAACAGTATGCTGTTATCCATATACTATCCAAAATGTGTTTTAGATGAGGAAATAATTTAAGTTCTCCAAACAACCTCTTAAAAGTAAATGATGGTTGTGCTGACTTGTTGTAACAACTGTACTGTGTGTTATTCCTCTCCAAACTAAACTCAGACAGGACTTCTTTTTATTTCTATTCTGGTCTATACAGGTGCAAATGGACACCCTGGGTCTGGATCACGCTGGTAAGCTCAATGGAAAGTAGCACCAAAACTGAGACCCAAACCCAGATCAGAATTTTGCAGCTGACTTCCAAGCTTGATGATTTATACTGCATCCAACTATCATAAAAGCCCTGACCCATGTCAGGCATTCAAATGCCAAACTCGGAGCTTGTGGTTTGCTCTCATCTCTGCATCATTTACTTTTTCCACTCGTTCTCCCTCAACCACAGCTTGCTGTATTGACAGTCCAGACACTTATTTAAAATAAGTAAACACGATGCCCTCCCCAACCCAGTTGGCCATTTCACAGCTACTGCTGCATTTCAGAGCCTGATCCAACAAACCTGCCTCATGACAGCACCGAACAAACATCCTCTAAAAAGCTTTTCACTCATAGTTATTTTTTTGTCTTGTTTTGTTTGGTCAGCTTTGTGATTCATCAGCCTTACAGTATTTTTCTTGGTGCGGGTACCACTGTCCTGGCAGTCCAGGTTTCCTCAGTGCAATGGGAAAGACAAGATGAAATAGCAGGGGCCATGACACAACTTAGCCTTAATGGTTCTACAAGAGGGGACTGATGTGGAGCAGACGTTCAGCTGACTACAACCCCAAAACAGGTGAGGAAAAGATGATCTGCTTTGGGAAACACCATATCATGCCATACATATGAGGGATACAGCAACAATATATTAACCACATAATGAGAAAAGGTACAAAATGAAGACAAGGAGAAGGCTAAACCTGTCAAGTTTTTACATTATGAACTTTTATAACTGGAAGAAGGAAAAGTAAGGGAAGGTATGCAAACAAGAATGATTGGAGCTGGGGAAAGAGTCTGAAATAATGTGCGGAAGACAGTTATAATAGGTATCAAAACATAAAACTGTAAGTACTACTTTGCTCTATATATGATAAAACAGTAACGACTTTTACATAAATGATAAACTCCCAGGGCATTAAAATAAATACATAGGCTTAAATAATTCCTGGGTAAAATAAGTAAGTGGCATGCAATGGGATGGGGATTTAGTGCTAGGAAGTATAAAGCCCTACGTCTCAGGAGAGCAGTGACATTGCCTGAGGAGCAGCTAGCTGCAAAGCCGTGAATCCAAGAAAGACCTAAAGGTGACTGCAGGTTAAGATTAGCCAAGCAATACAGTTTCTCTGTGTGATGCTACTGAGTGATGCAAGAGAAGGGTCAAAAACTAAGCTATTTCTGGATGTGTGCATATGAAGGGATGATATGGAAATCTAAAGCATAATGCTATGTCAAAACAACCACAATGGATATAGTACAAGTCTCCACAGATTAGAAAGGAGATAGAAAAAATAAAGGAAATACAAATAAGGACAATAAAAATGATCTAAGGAGAGGTTAAGAGAGCTAAATTAATATGGTCTATAAATGAGAAGACTCCTGGGCTGAGATCCAGCTATAAATACCTTCAAGGTACTGTGTGTAGAGGAAGGTAATTAATCTAGCTCAAAAGATAGAGGACAAGAAGCAATTGCTTGAATATAGGAATGGAAAAATTCAGGATGTATAATAAGAAAAAGTTATTTGAAGAGACACATCTGCTCAACAGGGCAGACTCCCAAGGTGGTAGCCAAGGCACACTCACTGTATGCAACTGAGAACAGGCTGAATAAGGGGCTCTGGGAAATGCTGCAATCGCAGCTTTCTACAGCCCAAAGCGATCACCACAGACCAACTTAGTGATCTTTTAGTCTCTTTCTTTATGGGTTATCTGAAAGGCTGCTCCTCTATTTAAAAATAACCACCCAAACCTATATATCCATGTAGTGACAATACATCCACCCCAGAGCTCAGAAATGGGGGTGTGCAGTAGTCTGATGTGCAACACAGGGAACCGCAAACCTCTCCAACTCTCTTCTGGCTGTTCAGTGGTGTGGGCAATGTGAGTCTGGTGGGTGCCGGGCAGCACAGTGTCAGCAGGACAAAAACTGCTGACCCAACCAGCAGATTATTCTGAGCTTCTCAACACCGAGGTCAAAGGCTGAAGTGGGAACTACCTCTTGTGATATTTGTGGTCTTCCCTAGCCTTGTGCTAAGAGATCCTGCATGGCAGCTTTCAATGTCACTGCACAAATTATGTACTTTGATTTATGATTAGCTGAAAACCAACACTAGCAGTATTTAACAATCCTCAGGAGCTCTAAAATACACTTGCATTAACAAAATAAAAAAAAAAATCCCAAAACATTTGCAACAGGCCTTACAATTTTCATTGACAAATGGGTATACACAAACGTGAGGAATACAAAACCCAAGTACCGTTATACCCCCCCTTAAACATATCCCATCCCAACTGCACTCACCAATCGGGACTTCTGTCCCCTCCTCAATGTAGATGGGCAGTGGTGATTCCTCCATAGGATGAGGCACTGATGGAAAGTAATGAATTGTAGTAGTATATGTCGCAAAGTGACTACAATAAGATGGTCCCTTTCTTATCATTACAACTACACATGGCTGGTTACTGTCACAAAGACTGCTTTCTCAAAGTGGTCACCTCCTGTCACAGTGACTGGTCCAAATCACAGTCCTGAGGGGTTCACCGTTCACTGCCACAGGAGTCAACCCCTCTGAACGCGGTCTGGGAGAGGTCCTTGCCCTGGATGCTTCATGATCCTGCCATTTCGCTATAGTCTTGCTATTCCCCTCCCTGGAGTTTAGCTCTCTTTTGGAAACTCACACAGTTGAAGCCAAGGGGAGCCAATGCACAGACAGGCACAAATAGAGTTATTGAGCCAAAGTCATATTTCATGCACAGAACCAGAAGAGAGAGGCTCTGATGCTCAAAGCTTGCTGTTAGCTGTTGAAAAGCCACAGCAGGTGATGGAAGGCTGCACCACAAATGGCCTCTGGACCACAAACTTTTCGTTACTCATTCATTTTGGAGTATATGTATTGGACTTAGGAAGCTCCTAATTATTACTTTGTGATACTGAAATCTCCAGACAAAACTCTTCAGATCTGCACTGCACGCTCATTCTGCACTTTCCAGACACCATACAGTCAGTGCTGTAGGGTTCATCTGTTTGGGTTCTTCTCTATTTGGAAGCTTCTTCCCTTAAAGGTGTTTTTGTTGCCCTATTTCCCATTTAAAATCTCTGGGAAGCATGTGCTTCACAGGCTTTTCAAGAGGTTTGAATTTCCTACACTAGAATGAAATAATAATGAACTACAAATGTTGAAAATGGTCATCATCAAAAGCCTTCTGGAATTCTTCCTTCTCTGTTACCTTTTAAAAATGATGATGTACGTTCTCAAAGGTACAAACTCTTAAGCTAGTCTCAGCTAGGATTCCAGCTGCAGAGAAGGACAATTCTTTAATCCTTTGTGAGGTGTCTTTCACTAACTACTGGCTTTTTTTTTTTTGAAAGATTCTTATGATATCCATAAAACCAGCCAAAGAACACCTGTGGTTTAAAGCTATTAAATAAAGCGCCTTACATTGCTAGAAACACAACCAGAATAAAGAGTGTTTTCAACAGATGCTTGACTAGCAACAAGATTAATATAAACCCCACACCGGTGCTTTGTGGGATGCAAAGGGCTGCCAGTCCCCTGCCTTCCCCTAAGCCCACCCCTCGCTCACGTGGAAGAGGAAGGGAAGCACAGAGGAGAGGAAGAGCAGAACACAGTTGCCTACAGAACTACTGTACAAGCCACAGAAATCATGGTCTACCGGGGCGCCTTGCGCAAGCCACTTTTACCTAGAAGCTGAACTAACATTCCAGCTCAACAACAGCAAAAAAACCATTTGTTACCACACGGTGTTTTGCTACATATTAACGCAAGCATAATGGAGTGCTGCAATTCCGAGATATATGTTATTTAAAAAAAAAAAAAGTTTACTTATGGGAAATCAGCCTGAGGTGAGCGCTCGTGGGCTTGCCATGCCACTGGACACAGTACATGCTTGGAAGTTATGCAAAGCGGACCCTGCATTGGGAACAATGCAGTCATTTTCCTTGCTAAGCTAATTTTGCATTAAGGCAATGAGAGTCTTCATCTATACAGCCCCTTAAAACGTTTAATCGGATTTATTTACTAGGAAGAAATACCAAAGCAGAGCTTCCTATACTACTCAAGAGTATTCAAATCTGAGATCTGCTAGCAAACCAGGTCACTAGACGGTGTGGAAAAAATACTGTTGTATTTTTATGACATGCAGCTTTCTTGGTCCCATGAAGAATACTGTACTGGGCTCACCCAGACCGAGCAGTCAGTGTGGAGCCAAATGCTTTCACAAAACATTTCCAACAGTATTCACCAATGGCTGGTGGCATTTACTCTTATTTTAATGGGTATCACCATAGGTTGTAGAAAAGGCCTGAAATACTGCAGGCTATTTGAGGCCAAATACGCATATAAACACTCTCTCTTACCCACACATATACATGCACACACTAGTAAACAAATGGCTCTATAGGCAGAACTTGGATTTTGCAGGATCCAAGGCAGAGAAGCTGACTCTTGTCACAGGGTTTGGGATTCAGGGACTCTGGGGTGCTAAAACGAGCTCTCACTTACAGGTCTCCTCTGCTTTGGGCAAACCACTTTAATATTATCCCTCCAGGATTTACCCACCAATTTTATGGGCATGCTGCTTAAATGTCTGCAAAGTGCTTTGCAATGGATTCTAAATTCTGCAGTGATAGGCACACAAGAACTGCACAGACAGATTTAAGATAACAGTTGCTGAACATTATTACTGTGTAACTACAGACTATTTTTACATGCTCTATACTTGGTTTCTATGAACAGATGGTAAATGTTCAGTATTTGAACATTTTAATGAGCTTTATAACCTTTTTGTAATTTCATAAATAAGCATAAATAACACTTACATGAAGAAGAGTCTCTCCTGAATAGATTTTCTCTTCCTGTTTGGAAAGAAAAAGAGAAAAAGAAAAGGCAAAAAAAATATTTTAAAGGAAAAAAATGGGTCTAGCAAGATATGTCAGACATGTTTCAATGTTATCATGCATAGTGTTTTCTGAATTTCATCAGTGAACTTATATTATGAAGAACATCAAGACACTGAATGTAGTACCAATGCCACAACAGGAGATCATTTCTCACCTGTTTCATTCTATGTAAAACATCACAGGAAATTTGACTATATCCATCTCAAAAGCAAGGAGATTACACTGCGACAGTGAAATGCAAACGCCATGTGATCTGAAGCAAAAAAGGAAGAACTTTTAACCACATTCCGGCCCACTGATAACCCCGTGGCTCGAAGTATGGGTTGCTCTCCTACCTACGGACAGCCTACCTACACCAACACCCTAAAGCAGGGCACTCCTGCTGCGTTTTGGCACAGTGTAATTGTTTTTCCATGCCAACACTCGAGCACCGACTGCGTTCAAACCCAGGTCAGGCAGCCACAGCACCAAAGGGGTTCTTCAAAGCTGTGGCCATTCTGGGTGACAAGAACCACAACAGGAAACCCAGTAACTGTTAAAATGCACCGGCCTTCCCAACAGCTCATGGCTCTCAACAGCCACCCACCCTGCTGCTTCCCACCTACAGCTCGCTGGCAGGACGAGGATTCGATTCACGCCCACCTTCCACTAACCTAGCTGGTGGTTTTGGTGGATGCTCTTGGAACAGGGTTTAGGGTCAGCACTGAGTGGCTTTCTGCTGGTGTAAGTCTAGACACATTGAAAAAAAAAACAAACAAACAAAAACCAAACCTGAGAGAGACTGATATAAATACAGGAAATGCTGTAGGACACCAGCCACAGCTTAAAAGTCACAGAGTGCAGCAGTACGGTAGCCCTTCCAATGGCAGTTTTGGGGGGAAAAAAGGACAATCAAGAGTGGCAGTCCCACTTAACTTCTACCACATTATCGTCTATCAATATTAGCTACTCTGTAAGCAATTTCAAAGGGTATTGCCTAGAGTTTACATGCCTTGGGATGATACTCAGCTAGCACAAATCAATTAAATCCACGGCACTACAACAGCTGAGGATTCACGTAAACATGCACGTATGGAGGAAATTCAACAAATATTAAATCACTATACTTGCATCCTCACGCTTTTCTTCCAAACGCCAAGGACCCAATCCTGCAAGCAGCCCCCCAGAGTGGCCTTAGAATAAACTTGAGTTCTGTGCATGAAGCCCTTAAGAGGATTGGACTCCGGATTATTTTAAAAAACATAACTCTGATCCATTCTGGTCACATAAGTTAGTGATCAGAAGAAGTCAAAGGCACTAATCCTGCTGGGTAATCTATTCAAAGCTGCACTTCTTAAATGATCTACAATTTATTAGTATGACCAATCAAATAAGCATTACTTACAAGAGGCTTTAACTACCATGGCTTTCCCATCCATTTGTATGTGTTGTAATATGGTTAAATTTAAAAGAAACAAATCAGCATAATCTTTTTAGAGTCAGTTGCCAGCACGATTAAAATCCTGAGAAGGGCACTGCTGTGGAGACTCCCCTTAGTGGTGGAACTGGCAACATTGCTATTGGGGCACAGGGGCAATGTTGCCCCATTCCCCATTGAGGCAAAACTATAAGGCATTGGAAAACCTAGAAGGGGTAAAATTAAAATAATAGGGGGCTGCTGCTGTGTCTAGAGGTGCATTGATGGAAATCCTGAGAGCATCACTGCCCGGGAAACGTGGCAGCTTGCTGAAAGGCTTGTGCCTGAGAGTCTCTTTGGAAACACCCAGCCCACAGGAGGACTTGGCTAGAAACCAGTCAGTCTGTAGCTCAGTCTTGGTCAGGCAGAGTATCGATTCAAGAAAAACTCATTGAAATATTTGCAATGATTAGCTGTAAGACAAGATCTTCATCTAGGCTTTACAAACAGAACTGTGCTCAGGCACGGGAGGTTTCCCAAGCACCGTGCAGCAAGAGCAAGCCAATCTAAACTGTCCTCCTATTTTTCCAGGGCAATGTTGCACCTTTTTTCCTACAGCAGTTCCCACAGACTGAAGCCTCCTGCCACAGCCCCAACATTTCACCTCTGACATTCAAGAAACCTCCAGGCACCCCATCCAAAAACTACAAATTATCAACTACCAACAAAGAGCGGCATGCCAAATTTTGCTCCTGGTTACAGCAAAGTAAAATAAAATAAAAACTGGTAGCATTTGAAGCATTCCAAATTTCTAATGGATTCTAGACCAAGATCCCTAAACAAACAAACAAACAAACAACCCCCCCCAAGATTCTGATCTAGCACCCCCAAGCATGCAACCACCTTCTCGGTACCTCCAGGTATCACAGGACCATCTGCAACCTCCTGCTTTTTGAGAAGTGTGACAGAAAATAACCCTAACACCGCACGGTAAAGGAAGCAGGTTAATAAATTACAGCAAGAAACGGCCTTTCCTCTCCTGGCCCGCCCGCAGGCTGGGGGTCCGGGTCCCGCCCCACCCGCGGGGCAGCGCTGGGGCCCCACGGAGAGGGAAGGGTGTCTGTCGCCCTCCAGTGGGTGCAGCCTCAAAGCAGCCCAGACCGTGAGAGAGGTGGGAAGGGGAAGGAACAGAGAAGGTGAGACGCAGGCAAACAGAGAGAAGACAAAAAAACACTATGCAAAGCAGAGAAGAGACAGTTGAAGAGGAAACACGAAGATGCTATCTCTGAAAGTGCCAAAAATAAAGTTTCCAGTGTCAGCCTAACCAGGGCAACAAAGACATCCTCCCGCCACGCTCGTGCTTCAGCCTCGACTTACTCTGGGCGAGGGACACGGTCATGCTGCTGGCTGCCTCAACTGTTCACACATTTTGCTTTAAAAAAACACAGCAACCTTCAGGGGAACCTTTCCTCAATACTCGTGCAAAGTTAGGCAATGCCAAAAAGCAGTCAGCTTGCCCAAATGCAGACCCAGAGGTAGACACCTGGCTGTCAAAAGCCATTAGGGTTTTCACCAAAGCCTCTCCCCTCCAAATTCCACAGCAGCAGGTTTTAACGGGCTGATTTACCCTCAAACCTAAAGCCATAAAATCTAAAGCGGTAGCAACTGTCTTCTGAGCCCCGAATTACACAGCCGATGACATGTCCCTCGATCAGGGCTGCCTCACTTTTTTGCTAGTCCAAAACTCAAAACATTTTGACATACAAGCAATAGAAAAAAAAAATGCAGTTACCAAAATAGCACTATCAACGTAACCAGCTCCTCTCGGCACATTTTCTTAATGCCTTTCCCAATACGGTTAAAAAAATGGGAACAAACCAAAAAACTCCATCTTTACACCTTGGCACAAACCGTGCTGGAATACGTGTGGGAGTGTATTTCTTCGTGTTTGTCTGGATCCTGTCCCACTACTTTTTTTCATCGGTGCTTTCCTTTAACCATAGCTCTTATTAAACAGCAGAAATCAGCTTTTACAATTTCTAAATACAAAGTTTTGTCACTCTCAGAGCTGCCTAAGGAAAACACGGCTTGCCTTGCGTTTCACAAATAACACATACTCTGCACATTTCTTTGCCTGTGTGAAATAAATTCTCCCATGTTCTTATATGGAAACCTTGCGAGTCCTCCCACATGCCGCCTGTTACAGTATCAGGCAGAGATGGGCATTCATTATCTTAAAGCCGGTGGGTGAATTTTGGATCCAAGTTACCCCGAGACGAACCCAGAATTATCGCCCCTTCGCACCAAGCTGAGCTCAGTAACCTGCCCTGTGCAGTCCCTGCGTTTTTCTTTCAAGCCCAAATCACAACTTTGATTTTAGCATGCCAAGGATCAACAAAATAAAAGGAAAAAGGGGGGGGG